GCGGCACCGTGTCTGTGCCACCGTTCTTTGAAAAAGCGCCGAAGCCGGCGATTTGTGTGTGTCCACCCCTGGACAAAGGGTTTCGTCCAACTGATCCACCGTTCACCTTTTCCACCCGTGAGTCACATGCAGGGGGATCAGGCTTCCAGCGACTAACCTGATCCAACGAAGCTGGGTCGCTGGAAGGGAAGTGGTTGAGGACGCTCAACCATGTACCTGCGAAGTTTTCCACAAGCTGTCACCCTACTTTTCCACGGTTTGATTCATGGTTCTTTCATGATACTTTCCCCACAAACAGGTTTTCGGCCGCCGATTTTCAGCTGCTTTGCCGCTGTGCGCTTTCCGCAGTCAAGGGAAACAACCTTTGTTCAAACACCTACAATTTCTTGGACTTCTCGCCTTGCTGTTCCACCGCCATCCTTCCCATCGTGGTAACTGAGTCACTGAATACAAGTGTCAGAGTGTGTATGTTTTATAATGTTTTATATACATGGAAAGAGAGGGAGAGGGAGAGGGAGAGGGAGCGAGAGAGAGAGAGAGAGAGAGAGTGAGAGAGAGAGAGAGAGAGCGAGAGAGCGACAAAGAGAGAGGTTGAGCTGAAGCTGCTGGATCCACTCGTACCGCCTGTTACTTAGGTCGAAGAATGTGCCGTCTTCCCCCAACTCAATTTGCATGGGCAGTATGGGGGGTGATACAGCCAGTCATCCCTGTCATCCCTCTAGATTCTAGATGAAGCACAAGACTTGGGACAATCTTAGGTCCTTCCCCCTGGAGATCATGCTGGAGCATCCTTCTATGTCCCCCAAACTAAACCCCATGAACGCCACCACCCGACCTGAACACCGAAATGCCGACACAGACTCACGCACACCGCACGGAGGTACACCGCGGCGCTGCCGTTGTTCGGCAGCATTTGCAGTGAACCCTTCGACAAACGGATCAAGGCGAATGGATGCACTGACCCCATAGAGCTCAAGGTGGCCGATCCCAAGGAGATGGAGAGAGTTCTGCGGAGTAAACGAAGTTCTGCTTAGATTTCTGGGGCAGAAACAGAGAGTGGAGCCAATGAGATCATAAATGCTTGACCTGAACCACCTTGGCCTGGACCTAAGCCAAGGAGCATGTGTTCCTTGTAATGTTGGATGTTGATGAGTAAACCAGTCTTCAATAATGCTAAAATGTTCCAAAATTATTCCAGACCCCATGTTTGAAAAAGTGGTCATGCATAATGCTAATTTGTTTGGGGGACCCTATTCCTTTTTTTAAAATATATATTGGCCACTTAATAATGGTTAGAATTCCTTCTGAACCCTGTCCACCTGCACTCCCCTCCCTTCCCAGGCAAGCAGATAAGAAAAGTGTGTTCCACTGGAAAAATACATTTGCTCATGGAATCTTCCTTTACTTAGCTCCTAAGGCCAATGATTATGATTCATTTGCTGATTTAGGTTTCTCTAGGTTTTCTTCAAAACTGACAGCTTTCCAAACCCACCACTTCCTAATGCAATCCTTTATGTG